TGAATGAGAACTAAACCACGCGTAGTCTTGGGACTTTTGAGTGAACAGATGGGTGCTGCTTCTCAGAAGCATGTAACCCCCCAGAAAAGAAATACTCAAAAAAAGGATATGAAAAGCCACTCTTCCATGGGCTGTCAATTTGCAACCAAGACTAACACTAAATTAACAAGTAAGAGATATTTTAGGAGAACATATAGAACAAAGAGAAAATTAACACCTTACTCTCAAAGGAAATGGCTGGCAACTAAAAGTTGTGGCTTCTCCTTCTCTTCCTCAACCTTAGCTGATGCTTCAGCTCTTATTTCCTGGACCCTTTTATCCCAGATATTATCTATGAGCTTCCAAGTTTCATCACTAATGGTTTGGGTCTGTCCAAGGACAAGATTGAAAAGAAAAAAAATCAGCATCGATGAGCATAGAACATTATGCAGCAAGGAAGTAGTTACCCTTCTCCACCTACCTCCATGGGACGGGGTGCACCAAAGTTTGCAAACCCAACATTTCCAGGTGAAAAAGTAACTCTCCCTGGAAGAGAGATCCCGTGAACTCCCCATCTTCCAGCATAAATTAGGGCGCCATATTCATCAACTGGGCTTACAGCAGGCTAATTAACAGTAAAATAAGAATCTCAATTTGTTATCATATTCAGAACTATGAAAAGAATAGCATGGAGTCCCCTATTTTGTGTTCCTATGTAATTATTTGTGAAAATAATATATAATCAGGCAATAAAAAGTTTTCCCAACTTTAACATGTATTTTTGACAAGGATTCAAACTCCAATAGGATGAATCATATTATAGGTGCTTCTGCAAGATCTAGAAGTAACTTCAGTTTCCCTCTAAATACCCTTTTTTCTTTTTGAAATAACTCTAAAAACCCAAGTTACCTGAACAAAGATTGTAAATGGAAATAATTTTGTGCAATTAGACAAATAGTAAATAACCATGAAGGAGGTGCTTTTTCAGCAGCCACAAGAGCTAAAAGCGCTATTCCTATCATCTATGTTATTATGTTTTAACTTATACAATAATAAATTATATGGAGGTTCTTTAGGTTTGAGCATCATTAACAACTTAGTCTATTATTTATAGAAAAATAATAGTCCAGTTTCTTAACAGTCATTAAATGTTAGTTAAACATGTGTCACGTATTTTCCTCCAAAAATAAGTGTGTGAGCATGTGCATCATGTATGTGTCACATGTCTGTCACTACGAAATGATAAAAGATAGCAACATGACAAATAATTTCTAGATTATAACATGACTAATAATTCTAGTTTACTCACAAGGAAAAACAGTTTTAGTTGAAAAAATACAAAAAGGTAGAAGTTTTAGTTTGTATAGTAAAGAAGAAACAACAATGTGATTGTAAGAACCGAAAAAGTGAAAATAAATATCTAGTGTAAATAGATAATCTAAAATGTATTTTAGTAAATAGGGTGACTAGATTATTATGGTTTAAAACCACACACCAACTTGCAAATAAAATCTAAGATCCTCATATATGTTACTCTTGAGATAACTGCATTTATAATGTAATTGTTGGACAACTCAATTCATCAAAACTTTATCTAATCC